TACAAAAAATGCAAACTTTTTAATCATTCAAATATGATGGAGAAAATGAAAGGAAAAATATCAATAATGATTATTCGTGATTTATTTTAAATTTTTTAAAAAAAAATAAAAAAATGAATGACAAGAATTTTTTCTTTTCTCGAATCATAAAGAATAGGAACGAACGTATTTATGATAAATAAATTATGGCAAATTGATGTTAAATCAAATCAAAATTTTCCCGTAATTCCCCAACAATATAACTTTTCCGGCATTATTGTAATAAAAGCTTCCAGTGTTATTAGAAGCATTTTATTGTTTCATCTTCCGGATAAAGCTTTTATAAATGTTTCATCAATGCTATTAAATCATACCTTTAAAAGGTGTTGCTAATCTTAATGTTTACTGCTACAGTTAGAAAAGAAAACAGGTGATAAATATATCGTCGAATAATTTAATATTTAATTTTATTTCGTAAGAACAATATGACCGTTGACGAAATCCTTGATAAATTAATATTTGAAATAAAGCTTATAAATAAATTTATTCAGCAAAAAATTTTTTTGTATTTTAGCAATAGTAATAAGTATTCAGTCTAAAGGTCGCCAGTTCGATCTCGGCTTGTGGCACCAAAAAGAAGTGTGTTGTGGATGTGTTGGAGTTGTGTTGATTTGATATTGGCTTGAATTGAATTGATTAGATCTAGCTCGGATTGATTGACTGCTTTGAGTCGATCTGGATTGTTTGGATTGATTTGGATTTGATTCGTGGACCAGAAGACTGTGTTCTATCTATTGGGGCTTGTATTGATTCAGATCAATCGATGTCCTCGAATGTATTGGGAATTTTTTGGTTTATGTTTGATTGCTTGACTTGAATTGGGTTCGAGTGTCGGTACTAAAAGTGTTGCAACTGATGTAGGAATTGGTATTGGAATGGATTTGCTTATTAAAGTGAATGATTGAATAATTAATTTATTGAACTTGGATATTTATACAATTGAAGCAAAATAGCGGATAGGCGTTTGCTCAAACTTAAGCCGTAACTAAACTGTAATTGAAAGAATCTAACCTGTCTGAGCAAAACTCGGACCTTATACAGTAATGTGAGTTTTAAGAATCCAATACATTGGGACGGGGTCAATATGACAATTGTCCACATGAGGATTGGTAAGGTCAATGAGATATTGGATGTGCCGAAAGGAATATGAATGATATATGATAAGATAAATCATGTAAGTGACATAACGAAAGATTATAATTACAGGAAAACCTTAATTGGATTGTTCAGTGCAGAGATTATTTTTAGTGGAATTTCGAGCTTGTTCTCGACAATAAATAGATAAAACTGTAAATTTTTTCATAATTCCTTCTTCATTAAATTTTCTCTTAAATTAAAAAAAAGCTAAAATTTTTGGAAAATTTTTTCAAATTTTTTTTTGCTTTAAAAATTAAAGATTTTATTAATATCTTTTTTATGGTAAAGACGAAATATTACTGCTCCATGAGTGATTTTAATATAATTAATGAATGAAATCTATTCCATAAAAAATCATCACTATTTTAAGTCAATCAATTTCAAATGGACCACACACACCTCATTTGATCGAGCGAAAAACGACGAATGAAAAATGACGAGAAGTGAAATAAATTGTTAGCAACTGCGAAAATGATAATAATACAAGTGTTAATTTTTTTTTTTGCCTTAAATTTGATATTTTAAATTCTTTCTCTTTCATTGCTTTCTACCATTTCACCTTCAAATTTTATTCTATCAATTATCATCAACGAAAGAAAGAGTAAACATTAAAGCACCGTGTGATAATCATCGCATTTTATCCAACAGTAAATTCATGAAAGTAGCAAATAGCTTAAATAAATGAAAGTTATAAAATAATTGTAATAATTGATTATTTTCATCATTGAAAAACAAATGTCAAACAATGTGACAAATTATGAATGGAAAAAACTTTGCAAAATATAAATTTTTTTTTA